AGAATCTGGTATTGCTGTCCCCATCCTTCAACCACTTTAATTTTGCTTTATGCTGCCAAAAGAGCTCTTCAGAGTGATGAGCCTTCTCAAGTTCAGTTTTAGTAGCAGTCCAATCCTCCCAGTTGTCAGCAAGATTTGAAGTTCTCAAAAGCTCAAGCTTGGCAGTTAAGTGGTCTATTTTTGATTGATTCTCAGATTTGAATTTTGCACTCCAACGGATAAGGGCTTGCCTTGTACATTTGATTTTTTCTTTCAGAACATAAAATGGAGTGCCTGAGTGACTTTGAGACCAAGCAACCTTGACCACATCTTTTAGATCTTCTCTGAGTAACCAACGTTTATCAAAATGGAATCTGCGGGGAATTTTGAGAGAGGGAGCACCAGAGTTGAGGAGAAGAAGAGAATGATCTGAAGCACTACGAGCTAATGTAGAGATAGAAGCATTGGGATGGAGTTGAAGCCAATCCATAGAGCCAAATCCTCTATCAAGTTTCTCCTGGATGAGCCCTTCAGAGAACCTATGGTTACACCAAGTGTATGGAAAGCCATGCATCCTGATTTCCTCCATAGACATCGAGTTGATAAAGTTTTAAAAACCAACAAGGCTATTATCATTTCTAGGAATACCTCCCAATTTTTCAGAGGTGGAGCATATATCGTTCCAGTCTCCTATCATGAACCAAGTATCTTTCCATTTGAGTTTCTCATCCTCAAGCAGTTTCCATTGCTCAGCTCTGACGGCAGCATACGGACTAAGATAGACAAAAACCGCCCAACTCAGCCCTTCATTGTTAAGAGAGTATTCCACAGCTATAAAGCAGTCATGGCAAACAATTTGCGCAATCGAAACCTCGGCTGACCAAAGAAGGAGTAACCCACCACTCAAACCAAACGGGTCCACCAACTTATAACGATCAAGAAATCCCAACTTACGAACAACCGTAGTAACAAAAGAAGAAGAATTTTTGGTTTCAGAAATAAAGAAGAAAGAGGGGTGGTGAGATCTGAAAGTCTCTTTGATTTGGGAAACCGTCGAGGGCCCACCCAGTCCTCGACAGTTCCACACCGCGGCTAACATTGATTACTTGGGCGCCACTCTAGGCTGGCCGCCTCCACCTTCGATGATTTAAACTTCTTCAACATTTCAGAGTTGATCCTCCTGTCATCCACTTCATCTTCTTGCTCAGGATTTTCAGGAGCAGTTCTTTTTTTCTCAGTATTAATTACCTTGGAGGTAACTAAAGTGTCAGAATTCCGAGATAACCTACCATCTCTGCGAGGTGCTCTCTTCCAAGTTTTAGAACAAGAGGGGGACTGTTCTATCATAAGGAGATCAGTAGAAGCAACATGGGTTGTAGATTGCAGAAGGAGAGTGGGTGATGTTTCCTCCCCATGCATGATATCCATTAAAGGTTGGCGGGTTTGATGCTCTGAAGATAAAGCATGGTTAACAGCTGGAATGAGATCAGTAGGGGATTTCACTGGAGACTTCCTGTTTGGTAATTTTGAGCCATTTGAGTCTTGCACCTCTGATTGATTTTGACCAGGTATGCCTTCTTCCAAAATTAGAAGTTGATTAGCCTCTGGAATTAGACTGGTAGATGTCTTTGGGGTGTTGCATTGAACTGGGGTAGATGGGGAACCTGCAGACTGAGTATTAGAACCAGGAGAATTAGTTGCTGCCCATTGTTGAAATTCTGGGGCCCGCATCCAATCCCCATTTTGGCCATCCTTACAAGACTTTTTTGTAATGTCCTCCATTTTCTTCTTGCAGCTTCTGTCTAAGTGCCCTATTATGCCACACTAGTTGCACATATTAACCAATTTTTCATACTTAAAACTGACTTTAACCAGCTCCTCTCCCAGTCTGATTGAAGCACACCTAGGGAGTGGATCTGCTAGCTTGACATTAACAAGGAGCCTAAGGATTTTGCCCTCATGGCTTCCTGCTCCAGCAACCACCACATTGTTGAGTTTTGGAAATACTGCGCCTATTTTTAGCCCAACGTCAATACTAAGCCAGTTGAGAGGTAGGTTGAATACTTGAACCCAAATCGGTAATTCTTGGAAAACATGATGATTTGCAGAGAGACGCTCTTTCCATTCCGTAAGGAGGAGAAACTGGTTATCAATGGTCCAGTTCGTTCCTTTAGCTACTCGATCGAGATCCTCCTTACTTTGGAAAATAAATTGAAAGAAATTCGAACCCAATTCTTTCACTTCCATTGGATGCCGGATTTTCTATATATAACCCATCGTACGCTTGACTCCCATCCAACTGACCGGACGATCGCCAATTATTTTGCCAAATAAACTCTTATGGCATTCTTCAGCACTATAGCGAATATTCTATCAAAAATTAAACTTCATCCGATAAATCGTATCGTTAGTTTATCTCATACATATTTTCACTATAATTTTATTTCGTGGTGTTAACCATCCGAAAATCAACAAATAATTAGAGAAATGAGGTGTCTATGCAATTCGCAATTACTATGTGGAGAGCATCTTGATAAATATCGATCTACAGTTGTCAAGTGTAAAATAATTTTCCATGGGAAAACAAGGAGAATTTTAATAATGTATGACTTTTTTATGATAAACATTTTATGATTACCTGACAAATATTCTTCGTATCATAACTTATTGATTAATAACATTTAATTTATAAACTTTTTACCAAAACAAATACAACACTTGCATCGCACGGATGGTACAATGCTTTAAAAAGTAAATAAAACAAAACTATTTTCTCTCTTACCCTTTCGGTCTCTTCTTTTAATGGTGATCATGATGGATATATATTTCTCTCCAAAGCAAATAGTTCTCTCTCCACCCATTTCACAGTTGGAAGATTACACATTTCTTCAAGATTTAAGGCTTTAACTCATGCGGATTACAGCAATCGAAAGACAAAAATTAGGTGAAATCTATCATGACTCTGACGTCACAGAGGCATTTTATCCCCTCAATTTTATATTATTCCCCCATTTTTTAAAAAAAAAAAAAATTGGACGACAAAAAATTAATTAACGCTCTACCAACAATAAATGCTCGGCAGACAAAGCCAAATATATTTGTTTAAGCAATTTCCCTCTACGTTGGAAGAAAAACATGAAATTTCAATTCGATGAATGATTATAATCAGGGGCGGACACAGACTCGCAACTTTAAGAGGGCACAAACGTAACTTTTACAGAGTGCAAAAACAAAATGATATTTATTCTCTGCATGTTCTTATATATTATATCACTTTTAACTACATAAATTTAAATCTCATTAAATATATCTTTTTAAAATACCAACATTTTTTTTCTTATGCATTAGATATTCTTACAACATCAGCATTTGTGAACTTCTTTATAATAAAAATAAATATATTATTAGTTAATAAATCAATGACAAAACACAATTTAGTAACTAATTTTAAACTTATAATTATGATTTTAAGAACACCTGAAATTCAATACATATCAAAATCAATTTTAACTTTTATAGAAAATCGATATAACTCATTTATATATGTTGCCTACAACATAATACAAATACAAAATGCAAACAACTTAAATTAAAAAAATTCTTTATGTAATTATTTTAAAATATGATTATATATATACTAATTTTGTAAAAAAACTGGACAGGGGCCCGTGCCCCTATGGGCTCCTATGTAGGTCTGCCGATGATTATAATGCAGTTATTTCTTTATATTTTTATCGTTAGATATATATATATATATATAGTTTTTTTTTTCAAATAAATTTAATTATATTATAAAATGTCATACTCTTGTTATTTTACGGTATGAAATTTGAGTGTGAAAATATGTATCTTTTATTAGTATAGTTATCTGACCATTAGCCTAGCCATGGCTACAGACCATCCGACCCAGACCTAGTGCGGTCAAACCCGTTAACCAAGAGTTCAAACACGACCCAAATTTAACTACACCGAATATCATTAAAATATCATTTTTAACCACCCGAAAACTTCTTCAACTTAATTATATTTTAACTTATAATATATCAACTAAACTTAAGTCAAACTTTATAATATTTTTTCAAAACAGTCGACCCGGCCTGGCCCGGCCCGAATCACCAGGTCATAGACCCGGCACAGACCTAGCTAAGGGTCGGTTTTGGTCATTTGCGCCTGGGTTTTAGCCATGTCTACATTAGGCAGCAACCAAATAATTGAAGCACGTAGTCAAAGTCAAAGTCAAAGTCTTATATTAGCATAATC